GCATGAGCTTCTTGTCATGAATAAGTGAACTTCAAAACAATAATTTCATAAATTCCCATGTAAGGAGAAATAAAGCTCACATCCTTTATTGAGATGAAACCTGATTAAAACGTATGCCATCAAGCCATTAGGCGCTTTCACACTGGAGTACTTTTCCCAGGAATAGTTCCGATAGTTCCTGGGATTTTGCGTTCACACCAAAAAGATCTGGAACTAGAACTTTTTTTTGCGAACCTTTTCACCCCTTTTTAGTCCCTGCTAGAGAGCAGGGACTTTCCTGGGGAGAAAAAGGTTCACATTTCTGATTGGCTGGGCGAATTGCAAACCACGCCCCGTAAAACTCTGAAAAGTTTTTGTGAAGCCGCCATTTTATTTGCTCGCATTAGCATTATTAGCATTAGCATTAGCCCAGCGCACCAACGGAGAGAGACTAACTTATGGCAACACAAAAGAAAACATGGGAGCGGTGGAGTGATGAGGAGGTCTCGGCGCTTCTGGCGAGTTACTCGGAAGGCTTCTACTGAAGCCAGTCCCCAACTCCGGGGACTTCCGGCCGGGGACTTCGGGTGGCAGTATACGCCGTGAAGTTGTTTGCGGCCTGCCAGTAAACCCGAAGAAGAAGAAGAAGAAGAAGAAGAAGAAGAAGAAGAAGAAGAAGAAGAAGAAGAAGAAGAAGAAGAAGAAGAATCAAATCAAATCAGGTTTTATTTATATAGCACATTTAAAAGCGATTTTTGGTCGAGCCAAAGTGCTGTACATGTAATAAAAACACATTACTACAAATCACAATAAACGACAATAAATTACAACAGATATATCTTAAAAAACAAAATAAAAATAAAACACACGGAAAAGTCAGGAGTCGTGCTCCGCTCTAACTAGAAAGCCAGAGAGAAGAAGTGTGTTTTTAGTTTTGATTTAAAAACCCCTAGGGTCTGGGCCGACCTCACATGGAGGGGCAGAGTGTTCCAGAGCCTAGGGCCAGCTGCTGCGAAGGCTCGGTGCCCTCTGGTTTTTAGCCTGGTCTTGGGCACTACCAGCAGCAGCTGGTCAGCAGACCTTAAAGCTCTGGCTGGGGTGTAGCGCTGGAGCAGTTCAGCTATATTGGCCGGAGCCAGCCCATTTAGTGCTTTAAAAACAAATAAAAGGATTTTAAAATCAATTCTGAACCTAACTGGAAGCCAGTGTAGTGAGGCCAGAATAGGGGTGATGTGGTCGCGCTTTTTGTGGCCAGTCAGCAAACGTGCAGCAGCGTTTTGGACTAGCTGTAAGCGTTTGATTGAGGCCTGGTCCATACCCACATACAGAGCGTCACAATAGTCCAGTCTCGAGGTTACAAAGGCGTTAATAACCCTTTCTAAGTCTTTAAAAGATAAATACGACTTGGTTTTCGCCAATAGTCTTATTTTAAAAAAAGCAGGATTTTACTACGGTGCTGACCTGCTTGTCGAATTTAAAAGTGCTGGTGAAGGTCACTCCAAGGTTCATGACCGAGGGGAGGATGTTTTTTTTGATAGAGCCCAGAATATCAACCGGAGAGGCTGGAGGTTGCGGTCCAAAAAAGATGACCTCGGTCTTGCTCTCGTTCAGGTTGAGGAAGTTTTTGCTCAGCCAGGATTTTATCTCTGCTAAGCAGTCCATCAGCTGCTGTAGCGAGTGTGTGACATTTGCTTTGAGAGGCAGATATATCTGTACATCGTCGGCGTAGCAGTGGAAGGGAATGTTATGTTTTGTGAGTATTGAACCTAGGGGCAGTATGTACAGTAGAAAAAGGATGGGGCCCAGAATCGAGCCTTGGGGAACCCCACAGGTAAGAGGGGCTTTGGCAGAGGAGAAGGCACCTAGCTGCACTGAGAAGCTACGGTCTGTCAGGTAGGACCTGAACCATGCAAGGGCAGAGCCTGTGATGCCAGCGGACTGTTCAAGCCGTGACAGCAGGATGCTATGGTCCACAGTGTCAAAGGCAGCTGTCAGGTCTAACAGCACCAAGACAGCTGGGCTACCTGAGTCGGCGGCTAGGAGCAGATCATTAAAAACTCTTAAAAGGGCTGTTTCAGTGCTGTGCATGGGTTTGAAGCCAGACTGAAACTTTTCATGGATTCCATGCGTGGTTAAAAAAGACTGCAGCTGGGCGTAGACTACTCGCTCCAGGGCTTTTGATAAAAAGGGTAGCTGGGAGATGGGCCTAACATTTGCGAGAATGGAGGGGTCGAGATTTTTCTTTTTAAGGAGTGGCTTAACCACGGCATGTTTGAAGGCAGCTGGGACACATCCTGAGGTAAGAGAGGTGTTTAAAAGTAATAAAATACTTGCTCCAACTGAATCAAAAACATCTCTGAGAAGGCGAGAGGGAATGCTGTCTGAGGTGCAGTTTGTCGGCCGCAGGTGCTTGACTACATCCGAGAGAGAAGAGAGGGATACAGGCTCAAAGTGGTCGAGGACAGCAGGGCACAGAAAAGGAGCAGGATCTGGGGTAGCACTAGTGTGGGCTAGCCTAAGAGCAGATACCTTTTCAATAAAAAATGTAAGAAACTTATCACAGAGAGTAGTCGATGGGACAATAGAAGAAACATCACAGGGATTAATGATAGAGTTGAGGACATTAAAAAGAACCTGAGGTTTATGGCTGTTTTTGGAGATTAACAGAGAAATGTGCTCTGTTTTGGCTGCTTTGACTGCCGTCTGGTAGTCAGAAAGGCAAGCACGAAGGATTTCTAGGGAGACATGGAGTTTATCCTTTTTCCATTTTCTCTCTGCACGCCTGCAAGCGCGTCTGAGAGCACGAGTACAGTCATTGAGCCACGGCTCTGATAGAACTTTGGTGCGTCTAAGCGTAAAAGGAGCAACAGAATCCAGTATTAGTGTGCAGGTCGAATCAAACATGGAGATAAGCTCATCAGCATTAAAAGCACAGTTCACATCTAATTTACAGATCGGAGAAGCATTAAAAACATCAGAGAACTGTGAGGCAGTCAAGGGGTTAATCGAACGCAGACGACGCGCCGGGGCACGTGATTCGACTCCTGCGGAAGGGATGTAGGTTGTAAACAGAACCGGTAAATGGTCTGAGATACGCGTTGCTGCACATATTTCATCCACAGATACAGACAGTCCAAACGATAATACTAAGTCCAAAGTGTGTCCTTTTTCGTGTGTTGGGCCAGCCACGGACTGAACGAGACCAAAGGAATCAAGGAGATTTAAAAAGTCCCTAACCAGAGGTTTGGACTCGCAACACACATGGACATTGAAGTCTCCGGAGATCAAAACACGATCATATTTCACCATGATCCCGGACAGAAAGTCAGAAAAGTCATTTATGAAATCCTTATTACACTTTGGCGGACGATACACGACTGCGCAGAGTATAGGCGAGGCCGGGTTCAGTTCAAAAAGCTGCAACTCAAAGCTGGCATAGCTAGATACAGGGTGAAGCAATCGGCATTGGAGGTTAGCTCTAAACACTGATGCTATGCCCCCACCATGGCCAGTGGCACGGGGGGAGCTGAAGAATGTACAGTCAGGGGGAAGAAGTTCAGAGAACGGTGTATACTCGCCAGCGTGGGCCCAGGTTTCCGTCAGGAACATAACATCCAGTTCACGAGAGGTGAAGAAGTCGTTTAGCAGGAACGTTTTGTTTGCTATCGACCTAGCATTTAGCAAAGCCATGCAAAGTTTTCGCTCCGGGCTTGCCGAAGGTGTAGTGCGTCTCAGCTGACGAAGATGTGCGTGTTGAACGCCGCGCGGGCCGGGAGCAGTCAGTCGGGCAGGAGGAGCTGCCAGCGGGCCCCTCAGAGTCCGGAGCTCCGGAAAAACGGGGCGAATCCACCGATCCCTCACTTGGCGTGCAGCGGGAGGGCCATGACATCTGAGGCGTGGATAATTCACAGAAGAAGCCGTCAGGTATGCCTTAAGATGGACCAGTGCACCACCACGCTTTCCCCGTCGTCGAAAGCGCTTTCGGCGAGGCAGGATGCAGTGTGACCGGCGTAGGTAAGTGGGGATATCCGACAGTAGAGGGGGGGGGGACGATTTATGGTTGCCAGATGTAGGTTTGGGCAGCAATATCAACTCCAGTGAGGGTCTGAGGTGGAGGAGAGCTTGGCGATCATAGACGAGCAGAGCAGAGACATTCTGACAAACATGAAACAAAAACAGGACAGCTAAAGGTAGAGAGCTAAGCGAGCGGCGAGCCGACACAGGCGCCATCTTGAATCACGCCCCGTAAAACTCTGAAAAGTTTTTGTGAAGCCGCCATTTTATTTGCTCGCATTAGCATTATTAGCATTAGCATTAGCCCAGCGCACCAACGGAGAGAGACTAACTTATGGCAACACAAAAGAAAACATGGGAGCGGTGGAGTGATGAGGAGGTCTCGGCGCTTCTGGCGAGTTACTCGGAAGGCTTCTACTGAAGCCAGTCCCCAACTCCGGGGACTTCCGGCCGGGGATTTCGGGTGGCAGTATACGCCGTGAAGTTGTTTGCGGCCTGCCAGTAAACCCGAAGAAGAAGAAGTAGTAGTAGTAGTAGTAGTGACGTCAGCGGCTCCCTCAGGGACTTATTCCGGTGTGAACGCGATTTACTAGATAGTTCCAGGAAATAAAAGTTCCGGGAACTATTCCTGGGAAAATTACTTGGTGTGAAAGCGCCTATTGATAGGAGAGGTTATTTGACCCAAGGTCAGATTCATGCTGAAAATGGAGTATGTTGTGTAATAAAACTGCACACACATCTTTGTTGTTGGTTCGTTTCTAGGACACCGTATCCCACTTTTGATTGGACATTGGAGATTTGTATTACTTAGAGTAATGACATGGGGTTATAAGTAAAGAAGGGCCACAGTAGGACAAGGAAATCCATACTAAAGGGTTGACTAGGTAAGTCATGAAAATGTATGAAGAGCTACGATGAAAAGAATGTTTGAATTGTGCATTAATACTGAACTTAATATTTTGTTCATCCTGTATCTACTGATAACTGAATTACAGGGGCGCTTAAGCATGGAAACAGCAAGCAGCCTCAACTGGACTGATGTTCTCACTGAGATACATCCCTGCTATAAAATAGATGTCTCGTACGTGCTGAGAAACAACCCTTCTGCAATCTGTGTATTGTTTCATGTTTTTCTTGGCTCATTATCTGTTGTAACTGTAGGTGGAAACCTGCTTGTAATAATCTCAATCATTTACTTCAAACAGCTCCACACTCCTACTAACTCTCTCATTCTCTCTCTTGCTTTGGCTGATCTGCTTGTTGGAGTAATAGTATTTCCTCTCACCATGGAATTCTCTATAACCTATTGTCTGTACCATAAAGCTTTATTTTGCAAAGTACGGAGCACCTTTGATGTAACGCTGTGCACATCTTCTATTCTAAATTTGTGTTGTATTTCTATTGACAGATATTATGCAGTGTGTCAGCCTCTGACCTATAGAACTAAAATCTCTGATCCTGTTGTTGTGATTATGATCTTGGTGAGCTGGGGGATTTCTGTCTTTATTGGTATTGGTTTCGTAATTTTAGGAACTAACCAGGAAATTCGGTTGATTGATGCTATAATGGCAAACATTTTCGGACTTGTTTTCTCATTTTACCTCCCAGTGATTGTGATGCTGTGTATCTACCTGAAGATTTACGTTGTGGCACAGAAACAGGCACGCAACATCCACAACACAACCACAAAGTCTGGGGCAACTGTCAGTAAGACCACTGTTCTTTCTTTCAGTCATGTCTTCATGCCACTTCCTTTTATTGAATTACTTAATTGGCTTGCACTGTCAAATTCAATGCTCAACCCACTTATTTATGCTTTCTTTTACAGATGGTTTAGAACAGCTTTCAGAATGATAATTTCTGGGAAAATAATTTCTGGGGATTTCACTAACTCAAAACTGCTCTGATTCATTGTTAAATTGTGCTGAAATTGGTATCGTTTAGACATGTCATGATTCAAACATACAACATTCTATACGATGTTCTTTTTCCAAAACAAATGTAAATGTTTCCAAGATTTTCTTTGCAAATATTAAAAAAAATGTGGAGAACAGAATCCTGTCGTTTACTTATGGGTATTTCATGACACAAGGTCAGGATTTTAAAGATTGTATTCATATTTGGTTGCCAATTTAGACAATATTTCATAAAGAGCAGTAATATCCTGCAGCTTTGACCATAATCTACTTTACAAGGAAGACAACAAAATAAATCTGTATATGAATGCCATCATTTAGTTATACTGAGAATCCTGAACAACTACAGATATTATGTGCTTTTGGAGAATCTCAAAAATATAAATATTTCTCAAGTATTACAATCCTTCAGTTTCTCAAACAATGCTTTAACATTTTAAGATAGGGTTGATTATTTGATACCAGTTTAAATTAAGCAGTGATCTTAAACAATCAAATACTCAACATCATTTCAGAAAAGGCTTGTGATGTTGAGTAAAGAGGGTCCAGCTTGAGAGTGTGAGAAATCAGGTTACCATAATTGTCACTATGGCTAAGGAAGACATTTTCAGTGAGAACAATCTTATAATGTAGAAAACATCATAAGAAGCTTTGGAAGTGCCCTCAGAAATTGTGCATGCATGTATAATGATATATCCGATCGTAGTCCTCTGGTATTAGAGCTCAGTGTCCCAAATCAGAACTCTGTTCATTCATGGGGGCTTAACACTCTCTTGCTATCTAATGAAGGATTTATGCAGTACATTTTGAAACAGATTGACTCTTTTCTGAAAACAAACATAACTACTGATGTAAAAATGTAAACTTTCTGTTTACTTACAACCCTCAGGCAATCAAAACATTGGTAGAATACAACTTGCCCCCAACCATTGGGTGGGGTTATCTGACCCAAGGTTAAATACAGGCTTACAGTTGAGCCTGCCTATCCACAGACCTTTTGGTTAATGGATAAGAATAAAATACATGATGACGTATTTTGTATTTATCCTTTTCACCATATGTTTCGCCGTAAGCAGTATTGCTATTTCTTTGCGTAACGTTGCCAGCCTTACCAACCTTAACCTGCCAAAGAAACAGTTTTAAGCTTTTGAATTAAATGTTATTCAGTTATAACCATTTTTCAGGGAAGAAACTAACTATTTAGATTTACAATATGTGATTACTTTATCCTAAACATTTTTATTTGAGTATTTACAGCAATGTTTGTAGCTGTTGGGAGCTGCTGGCTTTCGGAGAGTAACCGTTCTGCTTAAAGGGGACCTATCATGCAAAATGCACTTTTGTACGTCTTTTATACATGAATATGTGTCCCCGGTATTCCAGGGAATTCACCAAGTGTCAGAAAACACAACCCTCTCTATTTTCCTCCATACCCAAATCTCAAAAAAAGGGGCTGCAACGGATCTGATAAAAACTGATCCAGATTTGAACACTGTCCTGACGTCAGGACGGTGGCGCTACGGCTATTGGGCCAACTCCACCAATCAGGAGGAGACAGCCATGGCCATTGCCGTTCGAAAGCGCTGGAGACGCTGTAGTACATATGCCAGGCCTGTAGGTGGTGCTGTTCTCACAGAATCAGCCCTTGCAAAAACAGGGCTACAAAAGTGCAAATTGAGCAAAATGAGGCATGGCTAAAATGCATGATCTGTTTGGTATTTTGAACAAAAAAAAGTATAAATATGCCTTACATAGGTATGGTCCTACACTATATTATTCAAATATAGCATGATAGGTCCACTTTAAAGAAAAGAAACATGTCAATAATCTTTTTATAATCAGACCTACACCTGCCTGAACGATAGACACAGGTCCGCAGTGCAAATCTCACCATACGGTGTTAGATAACAATTCCAATTTAAATTAAGAGAGCCACACATTTGCTGTTTACTAGCTAGATAGCTAACATTTGCTAACTAGCTTGTTAGATGGGTGGCTAAATTAAGCTAGCTAACAAACTAGTTAGATGGATAGCAAATAGCTTTATATACAGATAGAAAGAAAGAAAGATAGATAGATAGATAACGTTAGCTTGAGAGGTTAATTAAGTTTGTTCGTTAACTTGTTTTATAAATGTCAACACTGGTACTTTCTCTAACCTTTTGGCAGTGAGTAATTATAACAAATTCAACATTAGCTTGACTATGGAGTCTAACCCGCTGATATGTTTTGGTACTTTTTCGTAGCTCCTCATCAAGGGGGGCACGTATGCCACGAGACACTACAGAGTTATTCAAATCATATAAGATTTTTGGCCATTGTCATATATCATCCTGACAGCTTGTTAAAATGGTAGCTAAGGTAAGCTAGCTAACTAGGTGTGGATAGCAAACTGTAAGTAGCTTGATTTACAGACAGACTCCATCCATCCATCCATCCATCTTCTCCCGCTTATCCGTGGTCGGGTCGCGGAGGTAGCAGTTCCAGCAGAGAGCCCCAAACTTTCCTTTCCCTGGCCACTTCAACCAGCTCTGACTGGGGGATTCCAAGGCGCTCCCAGGCCAGCGAAGAGATATAATCCTTCCACCTGGTCCTAGGTCTACCCCTCGGTCTCTTCCCAGCTGGACGTACCTGGAACACCTCCCTAGGGAGGCGCCCAGGTGGCATCCTTACTAGGTGCCCGAACCACCTCAACTTGCTCATTTCGACGCGAAGGAGGAGCAGTTCAACTCCGAGTCCCTCCCGGATGACTGAACTTCTCACCTTATCCTTAAGGGAGACGCCCGCCACCCTGCGGAGAAAACCCATCTCGGCCGCTTGTTTCCGCGACCTCGTTCTTTCGGTCATGACCCATCCTTCATGACCATAGGTGAGGGTAGGAACGAAAATGGCCCGGTAGACAGAGAGCTTTGCCTTCTGGCTCAGCTCCATTTTCGTCACAGCGGTGCGGTAAAGCGACTGCAGTACCGCTCCCGCTGCTCCGATTCTACGGCCCATCTCACACTCCATTGTTCCCTCACTCGAGAACAAGACCCTGAGATACTTGAACTCCTTCACTTGGGGTAAGGACTCATTCCCTACTTGGAGTGGACAGTCCATCGGTTTCCTGCTGAGAACCATGGCCTCAGATTTGGAGGTGCTGATCCTCATCCCAGCCGCTTCACATTCGGTTGCGAACCGATCCAGTGAGTGCTGAAGGTCGCAGACCGATGAAGCCATTAGAACCACATCATCTGCAAAAAGCAGTGGTGCAATTCTTAGTCCACCGAACTGCAGACCCCCTCCCCCACGACTACGCCTCAAAACCCATCCATGAATATTACAAACAGGATTGGTGACAAAGCGCAGCCCTGGCGGAGGCCAACCCTCACCGGAAATGGGTCCGACTTACTGCCGAGGACCCGGACACAGCTCTCGCTTTGGGAGTACAGAGATTGGATGGCCCTGAGTAGAGACCCCTCACCCCATACTCCTGCAGCACCGCCCACAGTAACTCCCTGGGAACCCGGTCATACGCCTTCTCCAAATCTACAAAACACATGTAGACCGGATAAGCGTACTCCCAGGCCCCCTCCAGGATCCTTGCGAGAGTAAAGAGCTGATCCGTCGTTCCACGACCAGGACGGAATCCGCATTGTTCCCCCTCAATCTGAGGTTCGACAATCGGCCTGACCCTCCTTTCAAGTACCTTAGAGTAAACTTTCCCGGGGAGGCTGAGTAGTGTGATGCCTCTATAATTGGCACACACCCTCTGATCCCCCTTTTTGAAAAGGGGAACCACCACCCCGGTCTGCCACTCCTTCGGTACTGTTTCCGACTTCCACACAACGTTGATGAGACGTGTCAACCATGACAGTCCCTCAACACCCAGAGCCTTCAGCATTTCTGGGCGGATCTCGTCCACCCCTGGGGCTTTGCCACTGTGGAGCTGACTACCTCAGTGACCTCCCCCCGGGAGATTGGTGTTGATCCCCCGTCATACTCCAGCTCTGCCTCTACCATAGAGGGCGGAGTTGTCGGGTTCAGGAGTTCCTCAAAGTGTTCCTTCCAACGCCCTAACACTCTATCAGTTGAGGTCAACAGCGTCCCATCCTTACTGTACACAGCTTGGATGGTTCCCTGCTTCCCCCTCCTGAGGTGTCGGACAGTTTTCCAGAACAACTTTGGTGCCACCCGAATGTCCTTTTCCATGGCTTCTCCGAACTTCTCCCACACCCGCTGCTTTGCCTCGGCCACGGCTGAGGCTGCTGCCCTTCGGGCCTGTCGGTACCTTGCAACTGCCTCGGGAGTCCCCCGGGATAACATATCCCTGAAGGCCTCCTTCTTCAGTCGGACGGCTTCCCTGACCATGTGTCCACCAGGAGGTTCGAGGGTTACCGCTCCTTGAGGCACCTGAGACCACAGCTCCCCGCCGCAGCTTCGGTAATAGAGGCTTTGAACACCGCCCACTCTGGTTCAATGTCCCCAGCCTCCACAGGGATGCCCGAAAAGCTCCGCCGGAGGTGTGAGTTGAAGGCCTCCTGAACTTGGGCCTCCTCCAGACGTTCCCAGTTCACCCACACTACACAGACAGACTGACGGATTGAAACAAAGATAGATAACGTTTGCTAGCTAAATAGCTAATGTTCGCTTGCTCAATATGGCTCAACTGGCTGATATGTTTTGGTATTTTCAGTAGCTCCTCATAGCAAGACACTACAGACTTATCAAAAAGATTGGGCCAATGTCATCACCCTGCAAGTCACAAACAGAGGATGTGTGTGGTACTTTGAAACCATCTGATCACAAGTGTAGCTGTAAATGAGTTTTAATACAATTAATTGGTAATACTGCTGCTAGTGCTAAATCTGACACATAAGCGTTTGAACCAGAAGTTTGGAAAAGAGACGCGGCTACATAAGGTGAATAATTAATTATTTTAGCACTCTAGACAAAATAACCAACAAGTCCTCCAACTCATTCGACCAAATAGGTCGATTGTTCAAGTGCTT